TACTACATGATTCCGTATGTGTTATTTCATAGTTTTGATGTCTTCACTATTATTCTACAATGTAGAAAATAGTAAAAAATATAGAAAAATCTTAAATGAATAGTTGTATCCAAACTTTTGACTGGTACTATATATATATATATATATATACATACATACATACATACACACCACACACCACACACCACACACCACACACCATACATACATACATACATACATACGCTACATACATACATACGCTACATGACCAAAAGTATGTGGACACCGGTTGGACATACTGCCAAATTCTCTAAAACGACGTTGGAGGCAGCTTAGGGTATAGAAATATACATTCAATTCTCTGGCAACTGCTCTGGTGGACATTCCTGCAGTCAGCATGCCAATTGCACGTTCCCTCAACTTGGGACATCTGTTACATTGTGATGTGTGACAAAACTGCATATTTGAAGTGGTATTTTATTGTCCCCAGCACTAGGTGCACCTGTGTAATGATCATGCTGTTTAATCAGTTTCTTGATATGTCACACCTGTCAGGTTGATGGATTACCTTGACAAAGGAGAAATGCTCACTAACAGGGGTGTAAACAAATTTGTGCACAACATTTGAGAGAAATGTCTGGGATTTTTTTATTTCAGCTCATGAAACATGGGACCAACACTTTACATGTTTCCTTTATATTTTTGTTCACTGTATAAACAACTCCTTCCTCATAACATGCACACAAATGCTCTTGACTGCTCATTGCCTTACGCTTTGTTTTTGAGAATGGACACTAAAGCTCTTGTACTTTACTGCTTGCACTTGGTGTAAGATAACATACTGTAGAAAGGCAGGATTCTGCCTCTGGATAACGTTTTGCATTTTTAAATTTCATTAATTTAGAAGACGCTCTTATCCAGAGCAACTTACAGGAGCAATTCGGGTCAAGTGCCTTGCTCAAGGGCATCTTTCACCTAGTGGGCTCTGGGATTTGGACCAGTGACCTTTTGGTTACTGGGCCAACGCTCTTAACCGCTAGGATACCTGCCGCCCTGTGACGATGAAATCATCACCGACCCTCGGTGCACCTCGATGATGCTTTTGCACATCTGCATGATTCTTTGGTCCAGTCTAATGCGAGGAGATGGCTTCCAAGAAACCCCCATGATTCACACTGTCTAACACACTGTATATACAGTTGAAGTCGGAAGTTTACATACACCTTAGCCAAAAACACTTAAACTCAGTTTTTTCGCAATCCCTGACATTTAATCCTAGTAAAAATTCCCTGTCTTAGTTCAGTTTGGATCACCACTTTATTTTAAGAATGTGAAATGTCAGAATAATTTTAGAGAGAATGATTTATTTCTGTTTTTATTTCTTTCATCACATTCCCAGTGGGTCAGAAGTTTACATACACTCAATTAGTATTTGGAGCATTGCCTTTAAATTGTTCAACTTGGGTCAAACTTTTCGGGTAGCCTTCCACAAGCTTTCCACAATAAGTTGGGTGAATTTTGTCCCATTCCTCCTGACAGAGCTGGTGTAACTGAGTCATGTTTGTAGGCCTCCTTGCTCGCACACGCTTTTTCAGTTCTGCCCACACATTTTCTATAGGATTGAGGTCAGGGCTTTGTGATGGCCACTCCAATACCTTGACTTTGTTGTCCTTAAGCCATTTTGCCACAACTTTGGAAGTATACTTGGGGTCATTGTCCATTTGGAAGACCCATTTGTGACCAAGGTTTAACTTCTTGACTGATGTCTTGAGATGTTGCTTCAATATATCCACATAATTTTCCTTCCTCATGATGCCATCTATTTTGTGAAGTGCACCAGTCCCTCCTGCAGAAAAGCACCCCCACAGCATGATGCTGCCACCCCCGTGCTTCACGGTTGGGATGGTGATCTTCGGCTTGCAAGGTACCCCCTTTTTCCTCCAAACATAAGGATGGTCATTATGGCCAAACAGTTCTATTTTTGTTTCATCAGACCAGAGGACATTTATCCAAAAAGTACTATCTTTGTCCCCATGTGCAGTTGCAAACCGTAGTCTGTCTTTTTTATGGCGGTTTTGGAGCAGTGGCTTCTTCCTTGCTGAGCAGCCTTTCAGGTTATGTCGATATAGGACTTGTTTTACTGTGGATATAGATACTTTTGTACCTGTTTCCTCCAGCATCTTCACAAGGTCCTTTTGCTGTTGTTCTGGGATTGATTTGCACTTTTCGCACCAAAGTACGTTCATCTCTAGGAGACCGAACGTGTCTCCTTCCTGAGCGGTATGACGGCTGCGTGGTCCCATGGTGTTTATACTTGCGTGCTATTGTTTGTTCAGATGAACGTGGTACCTTCAGGCGTTTGGAAATTGCTCCCAAGGATGAACCAGACTTGTGGAGGTCTACCATTTTTGTTCTGAGGTCTTGGCAAATTTTTTTGATTTTCCCATGATGTCAAGCAAAGAGCCACTGAGTTTGAAGGTAGGCCTTGAAATACATCCTCAGGTACACCTCCAATTGACTAAAATTATGTCAATTAGCCTATCAGAAGCTTCTAAAGCCATGACATAATTTTCTGGAATTTTCCAAGCTGTTTAAAGGCACAGTCAACTTAGTGTATGTAAACTTCTGACCCACTGGAGTTGTGATACAGTGAATTATAAGTGAAATAATCTGTCTGTAAACAATTGTTGGAAAAATTACTTGTGTCATGCACAAAGTAGATGTCCTAACCGACTTGCCAAAACTATAGTTTGTTAACAAGAAATTTGTGGAGTGGTTGAAAAACGAGTTTTAATGACTCCAACCTAAGTGTAATTTAAACTTCCGACTTCAACTGTAGATGACGTGTGCTGTCTGGCTGGTGATGGCAATGACCTTGTCATTGGGGAGCCACGTCTCTCCACCATGTAGCGGGAGAGTGTGTATTCCTTGCAGTGTGCTGCTGTCTGTGGCATTTAGGAGCAGCCATATTGTTGCCTTGTAGGCTGGCAGTGTTGAAAGTGAATTTGCTAGTGAGTGTGCAGAGTATGCAAGAAGCCCTTGGAGAAACTCCACTACTGCAAGTCAGGTCAGCTAAATGCTGTTTTATTCTGATGTCACAGCATTATAGGATACCCATAGTTTTTCCTGCCTCGTGTCCAGTCATTTGAAGCTTTGTTCTGTCCCTGAACGGATTCCTCTTTGCGTGGATACTCTTTGATATCACTCAAGTCCCCATCCTTGACACACACGCTTTCAGTAACACACATGAACAAACCCACACACACATTCTTTTAAATGTTTCTCTCTTTTCTTTGAGCTATTCTCTATTCTATTTAATATCATCTCTATTACTGCCAACCTTTTGTAGCTAAAACGATTAACATTATTAAACTCTCATTTCCTATATCACCAATACTCACACATCCATTTCGCTTGCATTTATGCATCAACTAGCCTACTCCATAGTTATTAATTTTGCGAATGCAACATTATTGCTTTTCTCTTGTTTTCTTGAGGCAATCAAATAAGATTAAATGAAGTGTCTCTTTATCTTAGATTGCCCTGACTTCTATTTCATTACCTTTTTTGGCACCAGCATTTGAACTAAGAGTCACCTCTATCATAAAACAACAAGCAATTAAATTATAGTTATCCTCCTAGCACAGATGTCACACTACAAATTCAGCTCATGAAATCTCATTCTTGACTGCCTCAAAATATATCTTTAATTGGCTTTCGTCTCCTGGAGAATTTAGTCCCCATAAAAATATTGGGTGAATCTAAACTGTTAATTTTAAGCAATCCTTGATGTGTGTGGCTGGTTAGGTGTGTTTTTTCCCCCACACTTACATTTTTGGGTAGAGTTTTAACATGTTCATGTTTCCCCTACCAGCTATTGTTTGCCTGGTGAGTGTGTTTTACTAACAACAGATTTTCAAAGTGTCTGTACATTTTGTAGGTAAGGTGCTTATCCAGAGTAGGCTAATATCTTTGAAAAGCAAAATCTAAAATGGATATCTGGTGACCTAAAACTGGGTTAGCCTTCCCTTACTTCATAGACATCCGTGACCAATCTGCGTATTCTAGAGGCTATCACCCTCTCCATACCCTCTCTTTAATATGCTTTCAACTCAAATCAACCTAAATCATGGCCATATACTAGAGAAGCACTGAAACCATAGAGACATGGGCTCAGAATCTCATCACAGGAAATTAGCTTAGCAAATGTTAATCTATTACCAATATTTTCAGAGCATATATAGGCCTACGTGAATCACTGGATCTTAAAGTGTAGAAGAACATTGATCATTTAAATGATAATTTAGCCTAAGTCATGAGCATTCTGCTAGACCCTGTAAATACCAGTATAGTGACTGTTTACATCTGTGTTATTAAGATCACCATGACTCATCTGTCTGCCACCTCATTTAGTTCAGGAAGGGCAGTTTTCCTGATAATTCCAGTTTAGAATAGATAACATTTATCAGATTGATAATAGAACTAACTCTTGCCTCGATGACATTAATGATATTTTCCTTGTTTGTTTTTTCTTTTTTTTACCCCACAAATATACCTCATTCAACCTCTTGTGCTTGTTTTTACCCACTGCTCCCCGCTGCTCATGTCTCACCCCTTCATTAACTATTCCTATCCACGGTGTATCCATTCATGTTGCATGCCTCCACCTCTGTCCTGTTTGTTTGCCTGTGACGCTGCACCACCTTTGATTTTGCTGCATTACCTCCATGTTGCCATTATGGTGCCATCAACCATATTCCTGTGTTTTCATCCATCATCATTACCCTCCTTTTTCTCCCTAAAACCTAATAACTCATCTGGTTGTTTTTCGATTTTTATTTATTTATTTATTCCATGGTGAATGTCTTTGTTGGCCTACATTCTTTCCCCCTGTGTTTCTGTTCGCTTTGTGTTTCCTCCTCTGGACTGACTGTCCCCACATCTGCCACCCTCCTCAACCCCCTCCACCCCCTCCCTCCTGCCACTCCGCCCTTCCGGATGGTCTGCTGCCCCTGCATGCTGAACAGGCTTCTATGGACTGGACGAGTCGGACTTGGACAAAGTGTTCCGCCTGCCTACCACCACCTTCATCGGGGGCACTGAGACTGCCTTGCCCCTGAGGGAGATAATCCGCCGCCTGGAGGTATTCAAACTAAACCACACGCACGCACACACCTGTCTGTCTCTCAAAGAAGTTGGGTTCCTGGCAATCGTTTCTCTTGAACGAGTGAAACGTGTACAATACAGGCTCATTAGCATGGTCAAGTGACAAGACACGCTGTCCCATTTTTCAGATGGCCTACTGCCAGCACATCGGGGTGGAGTTCATGTTCATCAATGACCTGGACCAGTGCCAGTGGATCCGGGAGAAGTTTGAGAAGCCCGGCGTCATGCAGTTCACCCTGGAGGAGAAGAGGACCCTGCTGGCCCGCATGGTTCGCTCCACCAGGTTAGAGCCACGCCCAAAAACGTTTCACCCCCTACTTACCCCTCAAACATCATCAATTAATCAAATGCATTTATAAAGCCCTTTTCACGTCAGCAGTTGTCACAAATTGCTTTTACAGTCCACCTTGTCATAGTACTTGTCCAGATTTCAGTCATTACAGGGCTCCAGACTATAGTGGGGTCGATTCCTGGGACACCCATACTTAAAAAATGTATGCACATGACTGTAAGTCGCTTTGGATAAATGCTTCTGCTAAATGGCGTGTGTGTGTGTGTGTGTGTGTGTGTGTACACTACCGTTCAAAAGTTTGGGGTCACTTAGAAATGTCCTTGTTTTCGAAAGAAAAGCAATTTTTTTTGTCTATTTAAAATAACATCAGTGATCAGAAATACAGTGTAGACATTATTAATATTGTAAATGGCTATTGTAGCTAGAAATGGCTGATTAAAAAAAAAAAAAATGGAATATCTACATAGGTGTACAGAGGCCCATTATCAGCAACCATCAGTCCTGTGTTCCAATGGCACGTTGTGTTTGCTAATCCAAGTTGATCATTTTAAAAGGCTAATTGATCATTAGAAAACCCTTTTGCAATTATGTTAGCACAGCTGAAAACTGTTGTGCTGATTAAAGAAGCAATACATCTGGGCTTCTTGAGACTAGTTGAGTATCTGGAGCATCAGCAATTGTGGGTTCGATTACAGGCTCAAAATGGCCAGAAACAAATAACTTTCTTCTGAAACTCGTCAGTCTATTCTTGTTCTGAGAAATTAAGGCTATTCCATGCGAGAAATTGCCAAGAAACTGAAGATCTCGTACAACGCTGTGTACTACTCCCTTCACAGAACAGCGCAAACTGGCTCTAACCAGAATAGAAAGAGGAGTGGGAGGCCCCGGTGCACAACTGAGCAAGAGGACAAATAATCAGTGTCTAGTTTGAGAAACAGACGCCTCACAGGTCCTCAACTGGCAGCTTCATTAAATAATACCTGCAAAACACCAGTCTCAACGTGAACAGTGAAGAGGCGACTCCGGGATGCTGACCTTCTAGGCAGAGTTGCAAAGAATAAGTCCAGTGTCTGTGTTCTGTTGCCCATCTTAATCTTTTCTTTTTATTGGCCAGTCTGAGATATGGAATTTCTTTGCAATTCTGCCTAGAAGGTCAGCATCCCGGAGTCGCCTCTTCACTGTTGACGTTGAGACTGGTGTTATGCGGGTACTATTTAATGAAGCTGCCAGTTGAGGACCTGTGAGGCGCTTGTTTTATAAGCCATGAAATGTCCTCTCCCTATCCACTCGCGCTACAAAGTGTATCGATAGACGTTTTTATTAGTGTCTTGTGTCTTTCTAATATCGAGGAGTATTTCACGTTCTTTGGTCATACGAGTAAGGGTACAACATTAATTGGTGCATGAGTCAGAAATAATGAAGTGTGACTCGAGTTTTGCCATCAGCTGGAAGACTGTGTTCCCTTTTTGGTCAGTGAGCAGAGGAAGGAAGAGCTGAAGGACTGTGAAAGGCAGCCTCTGCTTCTCACTCGCTCTCTCTCTCATGCTCTTTCTCTCTCTCTCTCTCATGCTCTTTCTCTCTCCTAATGCTGACCATCAGATGCAGGCACCATCAGTCCAGTAAAATAAAATAAAAACGCAAATGATTGCAATTTATGCCTCACAAGTAATACAACAAATGATCTATTAACATGTGAAGCTTGCTAAGACTAACGTTTGGCAGAGCTAAATATACACAAACCAATAGTATAATACAGAAAACGTGGTTTATATGAAGAACCAAAGTTGAAAGCAGCTTCGTTCTTGTTTCTTGACTGCATGCATTCTTGACTAACTGTGCCTGCTTGAGTGACAGTGGGCGGGGCTTGGTGTATGTGTGTGGGGAAAGCTGTGAGGAGAGAGACGTCAAACGGAATAAACTATAAAAACGGACTGAGTAGCACACGTCAATATTTCAATTTCGATTACAATTTGATTCAATGTGCAGCCCTAGCGAAATGCACATCGGCCATTGCGAGTGCAGGCCTAATTTTTTTAGGACATTTACTGTTAGATTAATAAATGGCTACCAGCAGTTGGTATTATGTTTAGAGTTAGCAATCTAGCTAATGTGTTTTGATTTTACTTACTCAGGAGGTGAATTAGCCCCAAATAAATTAGCTATATATTATAATGATAATAATGCAAATAAAGATGTAGGCAAATTAATCTCTATTAAACAACACATTTAAGAACAATAGCCTAATTGTCAATCCAAAATATATGACAGTCACTGGATTAGGTAGCTCATAAAAATATCATTGGTCATGTATTCCTGCCTGGATATGTATGAAACAACGTATTTCTTGAATACCATCTTAGTCTATTACACCCCTAATAAAGCACTGTGAATTACTTTATAAGATGATTACACATTATTCTATTGCTTCATGCCACAGTTTTATTTTTGGTGTGACCAAATCATGGGGTGGTGCCACCAACTGAAAAAGTCAGTGGCACTAGTGCCACCAGGGGATTTTTTTTGTCAGGAGCACTGCATTGGACCAATGCTGCAAACTAATATCATAGGAGATTTCTGGAGTCCTTCTCTCCAAAGGGATATGGCCGTGTGCTGACGACGTGCGCTGTGTACCGCAGGTTCGAGGAGTTCCTCCAGAGGAAGTGGTCGTCAGAGAAGCGCTTCGGCCTGGAGGGCTGCGAGTCTCTGATCCCAGCCCTCAAGACCATCATTGACAAGTCCAGCGAGAAGGGTGTGGAGAACGTCGTCATGGGCATGCCACACAGGTGGGGTAATAACAAAATGGAAAACAAGGGGAGGGGATGCTTGAGTTTCTGCAATGTGGTTTCACTGTCAGCCTTATCTCCTCTGACACATGCTCCCCATCTCCTAGGGGTCGTCTGAACGTGCTGGCCAACGTCATCCGCAAGGAGCTGGAGCAGATCTTCTGCCAGTTTGACTCCAAGCTGGAGGCTGCCGATGAGGCGAGTCCCATCTAGCCCACCCACTGCAATTCTTGACTGTACTAAATGGAACACAACTACTGAATGGTCTGAATGTGTGGCTCTATTGTAGATGTCTAGCTGTGTTCTGCTGCCAGTGTGTTTGACTCTGTTGTTGTTGCAGGGCTCTGGTGATGTCAAGTACCACCTGGGGATGTACCACAGGAGGATCAACCGTGTGACGGACCGCAACATCACCCTGTCCCTCATGGCCAACCCCTCCCACCTGGAGGCTGTGGACCCGGTGGTGCAGGGAAAGACTAAGGCTGAGCAGTTCTACTGCGGAGACACCGAGGGACACAAGGTACGGACTGACTGACCGACACCGCTGGTTTTGAACACGGTTTGAATACCAGCGTATTTCTTTTCTCAACGTGACAAGGGAGTACTTGTAGAGATCATAGTCATTTTTTGTACTGTAGAAATGCACCCTTTCGGTTCGATCCCAGGTTTCGGCACCGACAAAAAGACATGCATGTTTTTTCTGCCCTTCACATACACACTGATCTGTACCGGATGAGTGAAACTATGGTTTCCACCAATCCGACTTTATCTGATGCGTTATTACCTCAAGGAAGAATGTATTGTAAATGGTCTGCATTTGATGTTGGATTGTTTGTGTGCCAGGTGATGTCCATCCTGATGCACGGTGACGCTGCCTTCGCCGGCCAGGGCGTCGTGTACGAGACCTTCCACCTCAGCGACCTGCCCTCCTACTCCACCCACGGCACGGTGCACGTGGTCGTCAACAACCAGGTGTGCGCGCACACACGCCAAGCTTAACCACCGACCACACCTGGTCTGGAGAAGATACAAATAGACTTTGTTCCACGTCGGTTTCAGCCATGCTAGGAAACCAGTGGTTGTGTTGGATGGCTGTCGTGCTAACCCTCTCACCCCCTACCTTCCCCCAGATTGGCTTCACCACTGACCCCCGTATGGCGCGCTCCTCTCCGTACCCCACTGACGTGGCCCGGGTGGTCAACGCTCCCATTTTCCACGTGAACGCTGATGACCCTGAGGCTGTGGTGTACGTGTGCAACGTGGCCGCCGAGTGGAGAGCCACCTTCCACAAGGACGTGGTGGTGGACCTGGTGAGTAGAGTTCCCTAGGTACAGATCTATGATCAGTTTCCCTTCCCCCAATCCTAACCTTAACCATTAGTGGGGAAAATGCATAACTGACCCAAGATCAGCGTCTAGGGGCAACTTCACCGTACTCCAAAGTTCCCCACTGGTTCATTTCAACCCACTGTCTGCTTAAGTAGCGGTTAGGAGGAAATATATAGGGGAAAAAGGCTTCTTACTCACATACGCAATAGTACCAGTTAGTTTAGCTCCGCCTTATGACGTCCACAGCAGCCAACATCAATACCAGTGTGTTTGTGTGTGCAGACCTGCCAACCTGCACAAATTTTGTGTACCATGCACATACTTTGAGGTAGAAGTATGTCAGAAAATCCTAGTGAGAGCCCTGATTGTACATTTAAACAAATGTTTTAGTTAACTACTGAAGAGCAGCTAATTATCAAGAATCCTACTGAGGCAGTCTTCTGCCAACATCATTAAATCAAATCAAATCAAATTTTATTGGTCACATGCGCCGAATACAACAGGTGCAGACATTACAGTGAAATGCTTACTTACAGCCCTTAACCAACAGTGCATTTATTTTAAACAAAAAAGTAAGAATAAAACAACAACAAAAAAAGTGTTGAGAAAAAAAGAGCAGAAGTAAAATAAAGTGACAGTAGGGAGGCTATATATACAGGGGGGTACCGTTGCAGAGTCAATGTGCGGGGGCACCGGCTAGTTGAGGTAGTTGAGGTAATATGTACATGTGGGTAGAGTTAAAGTGACTATGCATAAATACTTAACAGAGTAGCAGCAGCGTAAAAAGGATGGGGTGGGGGGGCAGTGCAAATAGTCCGTGTAGCCATGATTAGCTGTTCAGGAGTCTTATGGCTTGGGGGTAGAAGCTGTTGAGAAGTCTTTTGGACCTAGACTTGGCACTCCGGTACCGCTTGCCGTGCGGTAGCAGAGAGAACAGTCTATGACTAGGGTGGCTGGAGTCTTTGACAATTTTGAGGGCCTTCCTCTGACACCGCCTGGTATAGAGGTCCTGGATGGCAGGAAGCTTTGCCCCAGTGATGTACTGGGCCGTACGCACTACCCTCTGTAGTGCCTTGCGGTCAGAGGCCAAGCAGTTGCCATACCAGGCGGTGATGCAACCAGTCAGGATGCTCTCGATGGTGCAGCTGTAGAATTTTTTGAGGATCTGAGGACCCATGCCAAATCTTTTTAGTCTCCTGAGGGGGAATAGGCTTTGTCGTGCCCTCTTCACGACTGTCTTGGTGTGTTTGGACCATGATAGTTCGTTGGTGATGTGGACACCAAGGAACTTGAAGCTCTCAACCTGTTCCACTACAGCCCCGTCGATGAGAATGGGGGCCTGCTCAGTCCTCTTTTTTTTCCTGTAGTCCACAATCATCTCCTTTGTCTTGGTCACGTTGAGGGAGAGGTTGTTGTCCTGGCACCACACGGCCAGATCTCTGACCTCCTCCCTATAGGCTGTCTCATCGTTGTCGGTGATCAGGCCTACCACTGTTGTGTCGTCGGCAAACTTAATGATGGTGTTGGAGTCGTGCCTGGCCATGCAGTCATGGGTGAACAGAGAGTACAGGAGGGGACTGAGCACGCACCCCTGAGGGGCCCCCGTGTTGAGGATCAGTGTGGCAGATGTGTTGTTACCTACCCTTACCACCTGGGGGCGGCCCGTCAGGAAGTCCAGGATCCAGTTGCAGAGGAAGGTGTTTAGTCCCAGGATCCTTAGCTTAGTGATGAGCTTAGAGGGCACTATGGTGTTGAATGCTGAGCTGTAGTCAATGAATAGCATTCTCACGTAGGTGTTCCTCTTGTCCAGGTGGGAAAGGGCAGTGTGGAGTGCGATAGAGATTGCATTATCTGTGGATCTGTTGGGGCGGTATGCAAATTGGAGTGGGTCTAGGGTTTCTGGGATTATGCTGTTGATGTGAGCCATGACCAGTCTTTCATTATTAGGCAAAACAATGTGCATTTGCCTATGATTTGGGCAGTGTGGGTGTCGCGCACGCCGTCGTGGGGGCGGGGGGGTGCCGCCGCGCTGATGTGGTATTCTTCAAGGTTGGCAGGTCTGTGTGTGTGTGTTTATTAAGCAGCAACTATGTTTGTGTGTCGGCAGGTGTGCTACCGGCGGTTGGGACACAATGAGATGGACGAGCCCATGTTCACCCAGCCCCTGATGTACAAGCAGATCAAGAAGCAGAAGGGAGTGATGCAGAAGTATGGCGAGAAACTCATCGCAGAGGGGGCCGTCACGAGACAGGAGTACGAGGTCAGGGCTCAACCACTTCGACCATATCTCACACACACACACACTCTCCATAGAGTAGAGCCGAGGAGTCATCCTCTCCACTTCTGCCCTCCATTTCTCTCTCTCTCTCTCTCTCTCTCTCTCTCTCTCTCTCTCTCTCTCTCTCTCTCTAGGAGGAGATTGCCAAGTATGATAAGATCTGTGAGGAGGCACATGTTCGCTCCAAGGATGAGAAGATCCTCCACATCAAGCACTGGCTGGACTCTCCCTGGCCTGGTGAGTGGGTTAACAGCTCACAGACACACATACACAATGCTGTGTGTGTGTTGTGAATAATGGACCTGTGTGTGTGTAGGTTTTTTCAATCTGGATGGCCAGCCCAAGAGCCTGACCTGCCCGTCCACTGGCCTGACTGAGGAGGAGCTGACCCACATCGGACAGGTGGCCTCCTCAGTGCCAGTCGAAGACTTCACCATCCATGGAGGTGGGGAACCCTACTCTAAACCATAGAATTAAATAGAACATAATAATAACATTATATAATGTATCTCTATGCCTTTTACATTTAAATCCTCTGAGGGAGGGAGAGTCAAAAGTGCTTAAGTGCTAAACACACATTTGACGGCGCCTTTTGTTTTCTGTACACACACAGCATGATTTACACCAGTGACGAGTGTCTGGTTTGCGCTCCTCCGCAGGTCTGAGCCGTGTCCTGAAGGCCCGAGGGGAGATGATCAAGAACCGCACGGTGGACTGGGCCCTGGGAGAATACATGGCCTTTGGCTCTCTGCTCAAAGAGGGCATCCACGTTCGCCTCAGCGGCCAGGACGTGGAGAGAGGCACCTTCAGGTGACGAGAGGGAGAGGGAGGGGAGCATGTAATCTTGTGTGTCTCCCAAATGACACCCCAAATTATGGTCTCTGGTCAAAAGTAGTGCACTATATAGAGAATAGGCTGCCATTTGGGACGCAGATTTTGTCCCTCATTGTCCCTGCTGTGTGTTTCCCTCCCTGCCAGTCACCGACACCATGTGCTGCACGACCAGAACGTGGACAAGAGAGTCTGCATCCCCATGAACCACGTGGCCCCCAACCAGGCCCCCTACACCGTCTGCAACAGCTCCCTGTCTGAGTACGGCGTGCTGGGTCAGTCTCTCTCTCTCTCCCTCACACACACACACACACTCACTCACTCACTCACATTTACTGTGGAAACATATACTATGGAAACAGAATCTGAGAAACTGGGAAATATCACAGGAACTCTCATTCAAATAATCTCTTACTAGTATCTCCACCCGCTTACTGGGTACTCACACTTGGAGAGATAATCGGGGACCTAGCAACCAGTCATTTTGAATGAAAGGAGACACACAGCGACTTAACTGTCCGCGATGAGAGTGCTAGCGACCAACATTCAACATTTCAAATTTCAGTGACTCGACAGCGAATTGGGAGGGGGCAGCTCTTGCTAGCTTTGACATTGGCTAGAACAACAACAACTGACATAATGCATGCCATTTGAACGATACACCAACCCGGAGAGATTTTAACGGCTTGATCGCTGACTATCTCGGCAAGTGAGTCTTGAGTTAGGAACCTCTCTCACTCACACTCTCTCTCGCGTTCTTTCCCTCTGTCTCTGTTGTCAGGTTTCGAGCTGGGCTTTGCCATGGCCAGTCCCAATGCCCTGGTCCTGTGGGAGGCCCAGTTCGGAGACTTCCACAACACAGCCCAGTGCATCATCGACCAGTTCATCTGCCCCGGCCAGGCCAAGTGGGTCCGGCAGAATGGCATAGTTCTGCTGCTGCCACACGGCATGGAGGGCATGGTGAGTACCCCAGAGCTCCAGTTGGAGGGAGGAGATGGCGTTTCAAACAATTGTTCATAATAATTCATTTATACTACATGCTTTTGGGTAAAGTACATCTACTTGAAAATAGTTGATGAAAACATTGTTAATATGATGGTTATTTTATTCACTGTCTTCATCCATTATCATCCGTTTACTGTGCCAGCCCTAGTGACCTCACTGCGCTCCTCTCCTCTCCTCCACTCCACAGGGCCCAGAACATTCCTCTGCTCGTCCAGAGAGATTCCTCCAGATGTGTAACGATGATCCTGACGTGCTCCCGGTAGGTCAACCCTTCACTCTTAATCATTCTGCACTGCCTCTTGTATCCAAAAGGCCGCTCACGTTAATGTATTCTAGTTCATGCCTGACAATGACGTAGCTAGACATTTTCTTCCAAATAGATTTCCACTCTATCTCTTGGGCGGTGGTATCCAAACTTTTTCAGCGGGGTCCTAATTTTTGCCCCAATAATGTCTTGCGACCCCACCCCAAATCTAATGACACAACCTTCAAATCTATACATTTCTATTTTTACATCAACAAATAACCTTCAATTTATTGCATTTTCATCACTTATCAACATGAAAAGAAACCAATAAATACGTTTACTCAATAAAATTGTATTTTTCTGATTAACTTTCTTAAAAAACGTTGTATATTTTCCAATAGAATAATCTGTATTTTTTGTTCCTATTATTATTATTATTATTATTATTATTATTATTTAAAAATGTCGGGTCGCGACCCCGACTTTGTATACCTGTCGTGACGTGACTTACTTTAATGTATGACTGTTGTTTTTTCGAATCACCTAACTATGTTTAATTGTCACTCGATTAAATTAATCATGTAACAATTACCTCATTGGGAATTTGGGGCACCACGCAAGAGGTTGTTTAACCAGTTACCATCTCCCAAATTAAACTCTTAGAAGATATATGTTATAATCGATAACAGTCACTTATTAAATAATTACCTCTTATCAGTCTCATTCTGAACGTCGCATAATCCTTGAACCTGCAAGAACCATAACCTTATTGATGAATCAGCAATACACAAATTGGCTGAATTATTTATTTACTAACTAAATAATAACACAATACAAACACACATAGGTTATTGATTACTAATGTAATACTATGAAAACAAGTCCCTAGTGGCCTGGACTAACAATCGCATGAATGCTTGGGTAGAAGGAGGGTCAGAGTGGAAGGGGAGAGACAGAGATTCAAACTATCGTGGTTACTTTGGAGACTATACTCACAGTAATCATAATACTTATGCACCCTAATAACGCTAATTCGGATTAGAAATGCAACGTATTTACGTGTAGCTGTCCTCGATAGTTGAGTTGATGATGTAGGACTCTGGTTTGCCCACCAGAGATCCCAATGTCCTTGGTAGAGTTTCTGGTCGTAGTGCTGGTTAGAATAGATACTTCAGATGTACCAGCAGTTGTCTGATAGGGATTGTCCTTCCCACTTCGTGTCTTTTTGTGAAAGTTCTCTAGACGACTATACATGCCAGCTGCAGACTGAAATTATAAGGTCTAGTGAATTGTCGTAGAGGTTGAGAGTTTCAGAGTTTCTCAATTTCAAACGTGTGGACTAACGTCTCACGTTTTCTGGTCTTTCTGGTCTTGTAGAAATTCAACCATTTTACAACGTTTAGCTCACGCTTCACATCTGCTGGTCTGTAGAGTTTCAACCATTTTAAGCTGTGGGTCTTGCTGGTCTGGGTAGAAATTCAACCGTTTGCAACGTTTGGCTCACGCTTCACATCTGCTGGTCTTCCTTTGGTAACGGAGTTGTAGTTTTAAACCATTTTGTACGTTTAGCTCACGGTCTGTAGAAGTTTCAAACATTTGCACGTCAATGCATTTTATTCCTGGGACGGCTGCAGTGCTTTGCGGAAGTTCCGTAGGAACAAGAGGAAGTTAATCTCCAGCTCCAGTATCGCATGGACTCCAAGGGGGAGTGAAGTTGCTCATTCACAGCGAGACCGCTGGCTTGAAATCATGAAAGGACTGGTCAATTCAAGGTTTTGCTGAGTGAATGTGACGGATATCGTATATCTCCTTGGGTCAGATGCAATCGAGGTTGTGATTGAATGTGACGCAGATCTCGTAATATCCTCTTGGGTTCAGATCCGGGCATGGGTTCACTTTCGAGGCTGGTAACACAGCACAGGGTGAACAAGCGATACGTCTTGGAAGTGTAGTTTCAGCATGAGTCGCATTGTGAGAGGCGAGGTAGTCTGGGTGAAACCTCGAAGTGAAGTATCGCATCGTTCCGTTTTCAACAAACGTTTAGCTGGGTTCAAAGCCCTTTTGAGATCATTGAACAACGTTTGAGAGATGAGCGATATTGTTGATCCAGAATCAATCAGCGCATGACAGGTTAAGCAGTCCTCCAGGACTGTTTCCAGGTATGGGCTGTTTGAGTCACGTTTTGTGGTCATATTCCCCACAAAGTGGAGTGGTCGTTCGTAACGACATGTCTCATTTCTGTTCATGGTGAAAACAGATTGACTTATCGGGTTTCGAGTGGAATTGGCTCTTGCAATGTGTTTGACCTTTTTCTTCGCAACATTTGTATCAGAGACTAGACAAAGCTTGTGGGCTTGTGTCTTGATCGAGCGAGCCCTGGATAGGGTATTGAGTGAGAGCGGGAGTAATTTGATTGTTAACGTCCTTGCTAAGGGTGTTAATTCTGAAGGACTTGTTGTCCGGCAATTCCACGTCTAGTCATAGTGACTTGTCTTTTTCCTGTTTATCAAATTCTTTCCGGTTCTTTATTTCTCTTAGCAGAGCTAAGAGCTTCTGTCATCATTGAACCCATGTGGAACACCCCTTCAAATTAGTGGATTCGGTTATTTCAGCCACACCCGTTGCTGACAGGTGTATAAAATTGAGCACACAGCCATGCAATCTCCATAGACAAACATTGGCAGTAGAATGGCCTTACTGAAGAGCTCAGTGACTTGCATAGGATGCCACCTTTCCAACAAGTCATTTTGTCAAATTTCCGCCCTGCTAGAGCTGTAAGTGATGTTATTGTGAAGTGGAAACGTCTAGGAGCAACAACAGCTCAGCCGCAAAGTGGTAGGTCACACAAGCTCACAGAACGGGACCGCCGAGTGCTGAAGCGCATAGCGCATAAAAATCATCTGTTATTGGTTGCAACACTCACGAGCCAGGCCTAATCGGCCAACATCAGTGCCTGACCTCACTAATGTTCTTGTGGCTGAATGGAAGCAAGTCCCCGCAGCAATATTCCAACATCTAGTGAAAAGCCTTCCCAGAAGAGTGGAGGCTGTTATAGCAGCAAAGGAGGGACCAACTTCATATTAATGCCCATGATTTTGGAATGAGATGTTCGACGGGCAGGTGTCCACATACCTTTGGTCATGTAGTGTAGGTTGTCAGTTTTGCTAGGGTATTGTGGATGGGGGTGGTGGATGGGCGTAAGCCTCTGCCTCTGATTCCAAAGGTTGCAAATTCTAATTCAGCAATAGAAAGTTGTTTTTGAGATTTTTGTTTTAAGCCTATCCCAAACCTTAACCCTTACCTTAACCATTTGGAGTTAATGCCTAAACTTATCCCTAACCTTAAAAATGTGGAGTTAATGCCTAAACTTAACCTTAAACACTTTGAAATTTGACGTTTGCAACAACTTCGAAATTGGACATTTGAAAAACATGAATGAGACTGTGAGCGCTAGTTGCTATGGGCTCTCCAACCGTGATCCAGGGGTCTTGGGCCTATAGGCTACGTTTGGAGTTATTTGTCCACTTTAGTTGTGATACAAACCTTATCAACACATATAGGCCTATGGGCTAGGCTACATGATGCATACGACTATGATTTGAAAAAGTCTTAGACTGCACACACTGGGCAACATTCACATGTTATAATATTCTCACCATTAAGATTATTCTCAATTTAATCTTGTCTTTACATATACAAAATAATATATGTGTGAAATTAGTTTTTATTTAGAATGGGCCATTACTATGCACCTGTCGGAACAGGGACAGGGTAAAAACAGACGTCATCCGTATGCACTTGAATAGCAATTGAAGAAAGCTTTTTCCGCAGTTCATGCCAGCCAGGTGGGCTACGCCGCTTGAAAAGCGAAGCAATGTGCTTACTATATAGAAAGTTAAGAAATAAATATAGTAGGCCTAGCTGATGGGATCCTCTTTTGAATAGAGACCAACAAAACTCTGTTTTCTCATGCAATTGCATAGCATAGCCTGTAAAAATGTTGCGCAACAGGAACACTTATTTAATTCCATGCATGAACCAGTTATGAGGAGCTGGCTCTCGCTGCGCAACAGGTGATCCTATTCCACTCAAACTCTGAATGCATGAAGTGTTTGATTAGATTTTTGATTTGCGTCAGAGTGATTAGAGGGGCAATAGAGTGCTGAGTACCGGCCATTAGCGACTGGCCGTTAGCAAGTTTGGTAGGCTACTAACGACCATCAGTGGCATCAAAGTGCAGTTTTGGAGAAGCCTAGTTACTGTGACTCAGCGGTCACGTGGATTTTGACCCATGACTGCCAGTGTGGCGGTAATACGGTCACCATAATAGCCCTAGTCTTTACCCTTTCCTCTCACCCTCCTCCTCCCCACCAGAGCATCACAGAAGACTTTGCAATTCGCCAGCTCCACGACTGCAACTGGATCGTGGTCAACTGTTCCAACCCTGGCAACTTCTTCCATGTGCTGAGGAGGCAGATTCTGGCACCCTTCAGGAAGCCTGTGAGCCCCCGTCAACAACAACAACATGTTTACCCTGAAGCTGCTTACTGGAGCTCATTGTCCTCTGATCTGTCCTCTTTTCTAGCTCATCGTTTTCACCCCCAAATCCCTGCTGCGCCACCCCGAGGCGAGGTCCAACTTTGACGAGATGCTGCCAGGTAAGACTGTGTGTGAGGGTGTGTGGCTGGGTGTTTGTGTGTGTGTGTGTGGGCGTGTGTATATCTGTGAAGGACAGTGCTGGTGTATATATGCCCACTGGATGTCTGGCAGTCAGTGAGTGTTGCCGTGTTTCCCTGCTGTGCTCCAGGCACAGACTTCCAGCGCCTGATCCCAGATAATGGCCCAGTGGCCCAGAACCCAGCCGGGGTGAAGCGCATCATCTTCTGCACAGGGAAGGTGTACTACGAACTCACCAAGGAACGCAACGCCCACGGCATGGAGGACACCGTCGCCATTGCTCGCATGGAGCAGGTAGCTACACACACAAACACACACTCAACACGTGTGCAGGCGTACATCTCAGGGCTCCCACACAGAGAGGTTTGCACTAGAAAAATGCTCAGCCGAAAGGTGAAAGGAGTTTCACTTTTGCCTGACGTAACGTGTTTGACACATTCTCTGTGTGTACGGCACCCTAAACTCACTGGTGCTCCCTTTGGCTATCTGAGCTACCTTCCTCTTCTTCATGACATGACGTAGTCCTTGTCTCTCTGTTTGCAGCTGTCCCCCTTCCCATTCGACCTGGTGAAGGCTGAGAGCGAGAAGTACCCCAATGCCGACCTGGTGTGGTGCCAAGAGGAGCACAAGAACCAGGGCTACTACGACTACGTTAAACCCCGCATGCGCACCACCATCGATCGCGCCAAGCCAGTCTGGTAAACAAAACCTTCATCTGCTCTTGTCCTCTCTCCTTAGTGTGTCTGTGTTAAACTCTTATTAAACTCTCTCCCATTACATTTGTGTTCAGGTATGCTGGTCGCCCCCCTGCCGCGGCCCCAGCCACAGGAAACAAGAAGGCCCACCTGGTGGAGCTGAAGAATTTCCTGGACACTGCCTTCGATCTGGACGCCTTCAAGGACCAGATGTAACTCCTCTCTCCTCCCGCTTCCTCTGTCCCAGGATAAGGGGTAGCCTTCACCCTCCACTGCAACCCAGAGGCCCCTCCTCCTCCGTCCTATACGCACATATGCCCACATACCCCCTGGACTTGGCGCTCAGAGCAAGCCTACTCTCCTGGTGGGGGTCTCTGTCTCTAGCTCACAACGGCAACAGTCCTGTTCATTTAAGTCACCGCTATCTTCCCTGACCCAGATCCTCCCTCCTCCACTCCCCCTGGTCCTGTCTGAGCATGCCCCCTCCCTCTCCCACCTCCATCAGACACATGCCTCAAGACCACACATTCAGCAGTAGACAACCAACCAACCAGCCAGCCAGTCAAGGGTCAGGAAAGATAACCTTTGTACAGTCAGTGATAAGTGATCCTTAGCTTGGGTTTATTTTCTACTTCCTGTTTTTCTCTGGTTAACACTCCACTCACCAACACTATAACCTTCTTGTGTTGGGTTTTGCTTCTTAAGCCCTGTGTGTGTGTAACCAAAGTACATTGTTTATAAAGCTTTATATATTTTTCTGAGAGCCGTACTGGTGATTTTGTTTCATTCTGTTGCTGTCACAATGATGTCATCCTTTTGTAAAAGCAGGGCTCCTTACATAGCCAAAGGACGGGGCAACTGTTGCAACCAGTTTGAGATGTTTACCGCTAGTATTTGGCAAAACACACAACGGTTAGTTCGATGTCCATGATTAGACCACAGAATTTCGAGGAGAACCAGGTGTTCCCCCCCCCTCCTGTTCTCTGCTCTGAGCGCACTGCAGCGATGAACTTTTCTTGGTCTCTCCCCCTCTCTCTCTGTTCTCCAGGGCTATCTATCCCCTTGGTGAGTGCTACTGACATAACCACCATCTGCAACAGCTTTACATTTTTGTTTGTTTATTGGTTGTATGTGTTTTAGTTGTTTTTTTTGCCGTTCAAATCAACTTTCTCATTCTTGTAATGGCTATTAGAATAAGGTATTGAATAAGGGAAAGGGGATATATTTTGGGATTCACTGTCACACTATTGTGACATTTAACATGACAAATGCTCTTCTTTTCTCCATCTTGTACCGTTTCTCGCGAAAGAGGCTAAGACTTAGATGAGGGAAATTGGAGTGATGATGAACCAGTGAGATGAGTTGGTACCATGAGTTGGTACCATGTTTGCATTTATATTTAAGGAGTGTTGAACTGGTCAAATGAGTTGGTACCATGTTTGCATTTGTATATAAATTCACATAGGAGAAGTTTGTAAAGGATTGTTCATACAGCAATGTCAGGGCAACTTCTGTCTTTAGATGCATGGCCCTGTTGTCCTACTGCAGTACAGGTCAAGCAGGATGGCGTTGATTCCCCCCCCCTCCCTTACATATAGTCCTCTCATGACTCTGGCTAAACACTGATCTCATCCAGATGACATAACCTACACCTGGCACCCCTAGATGTTTCTCAACAACTCATGTTCTCTTTTTCTCTTGCAACCCCTATATCCTGTGCCAAATTTGTTTTCAAGCATTTAGCATTCGTTTGAGGGTGTGTATGAATGAATTACCAGAGGAGTCTTTTTAGCTGCATAGCTAATTTAAAAAACAGGACATCACCTTTTGTTTGGGTGGCTCCATGAGAAAGCAAATGATTTATTTATTTTCATATAGTGGATTAAGATTCTTTCCATTTTATTATTTTTGCTTCATTCAATAAAGACTATCTTCCCAAATCAGTGAATGGTTGAATTCTTATTTTTATTTTTTTTGACAATTTGTTTTTTACATCACAAACAAAGCGAAACACCCACTATACAGCACATTACCCAAGGTGATCAACATATGGTTTCCGAATTTCATTATACACTTCCGGATTTTGTTTAACTTTAGAATATACCAAATCCAACGGGATGTACAGTAGCTAGATAGTTCAGTCCTCCAGTTTGTTATTGAGGGTGAGTGAGGCTTTCCAATTGATGGGTATACATTTTTTTTGCAGTAATTAGGCCTAGATGACAACTTTCTCTTGATCACCAATATTGATTTACATTTCCCAATGGACATCTTCGTGGAGATAAATTCCTGGACACAATGAAATTATAGCACATACAGTGCCTTCAGAAAGAATTTACACCCCATGACTTTTTCCACATTTTGTTGTGTTACCGCCTGAATCTAAAATGTATTACATTTATATTTTTTGGTCACTGGCCTACAGACAATACCCCATTATTTCAATGTGGAAATATAATTTTTTGACATTTTTACTAATTAATTTTAAATGAAAATATGAAATGTCTTGAGTCAATAAGTATTCAACCACTTTGTTAGAGCAAGCCTAAATAAGTTCAGGAGTAGAATGTGCTTAACAAGTCACATGAGTTGCATGAACTGTGTCCAATAATAGTGTTTAACATGATTTTTGAATGACTACCTCATATCTGTACCCCACACATACAATTATCTGTAAGGTCCCTCAATCGAGTAGTGAATTTCAAGCACAGATTCAACCACAAAGACCAGGGAGGTTTTTCAATGCCTCACAAAGGTGTGAAAATTTTAAAAAGCAAATGCTGAATATTCCTTTTGAGCATGGTGAAGTTATTAATTATACTTTGGATAGTATATCAATACTCCCAGTCACTACAAAGGTACAGGTGTCCTTCCTAACTCTGTTGCCGGAGAGGACGGAAACTGCTCAAGGATTTCACCATGAGGCCAATGGTGATTTTAAAACAGTTACAGAGTTTAATGGTTGTGATATGAGAAAACTGAGGATGGATCAACAACATTGTAGTTACTCCACAATACTAACCTAAATGGCAGAGTGAAAAGAAGGAAGCCTGTACAGAATGCATCCTGTTTGCAACAAGGCACTTAAGTAATACTGCAAAGAATGTGGCAAAGAAATGAACTTTTTGTCCTGAATACAAAGCGTAACGTTTGGGGCAAATCTAACCCAACACATCACTGAGTCCCACTTCATATTTTCAAGCATGGTGGTGGCTGCATCATGTTATGGGTATGCTTGTCATCGGCAAGGACTAAGGAGTTTTTTTAGGACAAAAATACATGGAATACAACTATAAGCACAGGCAAAATCCTAGAGGAAAACCTGGTTCAGTCTGCTTTCTAACAGATACTGAGAGACAAATTCACCTTTCAGCAGGACAATAACCTAAAACACAAGGCCAAATCTACACTGGAGTTGCTTATAAAGACGACATTGAATTTTCCTGAGTGGCCTAGTTACAATTTTGACTTAAATTGGCTTGAAAATCTATGGCAAGACTTGAAAATGGCTGACTATCAATTATCAACAATCAACTTGATAGAGCTTGAATAATTGTTTAAAGAATAATGGGAAAATATTGTACAATCCAGGTATGAAAAGCTCTCAGACACTTATCCCAAAAGACTCACAGCTGTAATCAGTGGTGTAAAAAGTACCCAATTGTCATACTTGAGTAAAAGTAGATACCTTAATAGAAAATGACTCAAGTAAAAGTGAAAGTCACCCAGTAAAATACTACTTGAGTAAAAGTCTAAAAGTATTTGGTTTTAAATATACTTAAGTATCAAAAGTAAATGTAATTGCTAAAATATACTTAAGTATCAAAAGTAAAAGTATAAATAATTTCAAATTCCATATATAAAGCAAACCAGATGGCATCATTTTCTTGTTTTTTAAATTTACGGATAGCCAGGGGCATACTCACACACAGGGATGACCAGGGATGTTCTCTTGATAAGTGTGTGAATTAGGCCATTTTCCTGTCCTGCTAAGCGTTCAAAATATAACGAGTACTTTTGGGTGTCAGGGATAATGTATGGAGTAAAAGGTACATAATTTTATTTAGGAATGTAGTGAATTAAAAGTAAAAGTAGTCAAAAAAATTAATAGTACAGATACCCCAAAAAACGACTTAAGTAGTACTTTTAAGTATTTTTACTTAAGTACTTTACACCACTGGCTGGAATCGCCGCCACTGGTGCTTTTACAAAGTATTTACTCAGGGGTAGGAATACTTATGTCATATTTATTTTATTATTAACACATTTGCATACATTTCTAAAAACATGTTTTTTTCACTTTGTCATTTGTCATTGTGGGGTATTCTGTGTAGATGGGGAGAAAAAACAATCTATTTAATCCATTTTATATTCAGGTTGTAACACCACAAAATGTGAAGTCACTAGTAAATAGTCACTTGTCATTAGTACATTTGTAACAGCCTAACCATTACGAAACATCTATTCGATCAAATAAACATCACGTAATTCGACACTCTCATAGACCTCAATACAAAAACAGATTTTGGGCGGAGTAAATCCCAGAGATGTGACTCGAGTCACGTGACTTGGACTCGAGTACTACTCCAGTCGCAAAAAGAAAAAACACTTGTTAGTCGACTTCGACTTGAGCATCTATGACTCGTGACTTAACTTGAACTTGAGCTGTATGACTCGAGACTCGATATGTCATCTCGCGCAATATGTAAGCCTATCTGTCGTATATATCAGAGTGCTGCAGGTTCTGTGCGTTCTGTTCTGTCTTGACCAATCAGATTCACGGAAATTACAAAGCATGTCATTAAGCAAAGCGAGCGGCTCGACTGTCCTCTGGTATTTATTTAGAAACGTGATAACACATCACTCCCAACAACCACAAGCAAGAACTCTTCACAGAAATGTTGCAGCAGCCTACACCTAAACCGTATGGGAAGAAAATGAGACGATTTCTCAGTCTGATCAACAAGGATACTGATAACAAGCAGCCCACAGCTGCATAGGCTACATCCGATGCGCCCTGGCCCCTCTTGCCCTCTGGCCAGGGTAATCGAAGTGGTAATGTATGTAGCCTATTTATAGCCCATTTATTTGTGTTTAGGAGAAAATGTGAACGTGATCAAATGTGGTTTAAGCTATATTCAAACTTGGGCTGACTGGCTAGGCTACCTTGACCTTTTCAATCCAGAATTATAAACTGAAACAACTATCAAACAACACAGTACTGAGGCGGGGCGGCATGTAGTTTAGTGGTTAAGAGCGTTGTGCCAGTAACGAAAGGTCGCTGGTTCTAATCCCTGAGTCGACTAGGTGAAAAATCTGTTGATGTGCCCTTGAGCAAGGCACTTAACCCTAATTTCTCCTGTAAGTCGCTCTGGATAAGAGCGTCTGCTAAAATGACTCAAATGTAAATTACCTAAACAGACTGCATGAGTTACTTTTGCATAGGCCTATATGATGCAAACCTGCATAAAGCAAGCTCAGCCCTGTGAGTTCTATTATCCAATTGCAGTGGTTGTGTCTGTGTAAAGGAAAGTCTAGTTTTAAAATATAATTCATATGAACAAGTACAAGGTTGCTGCAGTTTGACAGGGTTTTCATCCTCCCTAGGGCCAGGAGTTTTTCCAGAACTTCTTTAAAACCATGTGACCTGTTTAGACAGTATCTGTATACATAGGCAGCAGGTAGCTTAGTGGTTAAGAGCATTGGGTCAGTAACCGAAAGGTCAATGGTTTGAATCCCCAAGCAGACTAGGTGAAAAATCTGTTGGTGTGCCCTTAAGCAAGGCACTTAACCCTAATTGCTCTGGATAAAGGTGTCCGCTAAATGACTACAATTAAAATCTGTTCCCATTGCCCATATAAATACCTTTTTACAATGACTAATTAATCACTGTCAGACCCAATGATTTATACCTGGCAAGGTTACCAGATTAGGAAAAGCTCCGGGCCCCAGGGAAAACAATTTGCCCTACCACTCTGGGACCTGTGGTGTCACCTCTGCAACAGGGCGTCATCTGGATCGGTCCCAATAATCGTTGCATTCGGTTTCAAAGACTATGTGCTAGTGGGGGGGGGGGGGAAGGGATGCAGTTTGTAAAACATGTGGGTCCAAAGTCACTGATGCAATTGCAATGAAATTGGCCTAAAACACTTAACCATTGACGTGAAGGCTCGAAACCCAAAATTAGGGACTCTTGACTTGACCTGAGCTGTGGAACTTGGGACTTTCCTTGACTTGCCCATTATTAGTTGGGACTTGACTAGAGACTTGAAGGTTAAGACTTGAGTCCTGCTTAAGTCTTGCTTAAGTGACTTGGTCTCATCTCTGGTAAATCCTCTCGCTTAGCCTCTTCCTTTCTGGTGTATTCCTTTTGTGGTTGTGTGAACTTCACCAGA